ATGTTGGAGGAATAAGTACTGAAAATATCACTTGCTACCCAGGGGGAAAAAACTTTTAGTGTACACCATTATAGTAGATATAGATAATGGAACAAGAGTAAAATGGAAATTTCAAGAGGGTGAAATGCCCAAGAGCTTGGGGGGGGGGGGCGAACAGGACCCCACCCGTGGGCGGCGCCTGGAAAGATTACACGGGGTAACTGTAAGGAAGCGCGGAGGCAAACGGCTTCAAGGTCCTGGTGGTATTATTTCCGGGCCAAGGTGAGGCAACCCATCAACAACTTGGAACACTAAGACATTCAAGCTGCTATATCAAAGTAAAAAAAAAAAAAAAAAACCTGCGTCCATCCTGGTCAACAAAATAAGGTTATCGTACGTTTTAAAAACGTAAGTGGGTTTATCTTCTATCTTCTAACATTAGTTAGAAATTTTCCAACCACTGTGGCCACGGCCCGCCAAACTAGGAATTTCGAGAGAGATGCTGATATACAGGTTCATTCTCATCATAGGCAAATACAGTATATCGAGTAATTGTTGGGTTTAATTGTTTAATTTTTGTTTCTATTTAACCATTATCAAGAGCGAAGACAGTTTAGTTGACAATAAAATGCGAGAATATCTAAAGTACGACCCAGAATTATTTCAAGGGACCAAAAGGTTGAAAAAACGCGGGCGAAGAAATTAAGATTTAGGACTTTTCTAGATTTATCTAAGTTCTAGGTACTGTACAAGCCGCCGCCACAAATACAAGAACCTTAAAAATATCGACGAGTTAAAAATACCTCTTTTAGCGATTTTTTTTTTTATTTTTTTTTAGATGTTTTAGGGATCCAATAGTAAATGCCCACAAATCCACCGCTATCCAAAGCCTATAGTTTACTTGGGTTGTAGGGTAGCCTATAAGCAAATAAGTTAGTCTACTTCATGGCAGCCACCATGTTCCTGTCTTCTGTACCGAAGACCACCTACAAAGTCTTCCCAGCACGTTCCTACAAAACGAAATTTCAATGTCATGCCTTTATCGTACAGTAGCTTAAGTGTATAAACGCACACCAATCTATATAGACCAATTAGTCTATAGTGTTTAATAACTTCTTGCGCTGGGCATTTTGTCCAACTTGGAGGAAAAAATTGAGAAAAAAACCAAGCACCTTAAAAATGATTACTCAAACCTACTCCAGAAAAACTTATTAGCGTCCTTTACCTTAAGTTACCACAAGGTATGCAAAAACTAAAGATCCTGCTTCAGCCCTTTCAGAGAACCCCCCCCCCCCTCCCACCAGTGGGAGTTCCCTCTTTAGGAGCTGCGACAGCCTTTCAGAGTTTAGGAGAAATCTAGCAAGAAAGTCTAGTGCATGGATTTCGAGATAATTGCAGACAATTGTACAACATTTAATTACAGACTGTGACTAAGCTGTTTGGGATATCTGTTTCAACACTAGAATATAACAATATATAACACTAGAATAGAACCCCGATATAACAATATATCGGGGTTCCTTAGCTGTTGGTTCCTTCAAATAGCGAAGGAACCGATTAAATGACAAGGATTGCGGAATTTTTAAAAACACTATAATAAGGAAAAAAAAGTTTATATAATTTTGAAGTGCACAAAGAGGGAGGGAGGGAGCATTAAGAAAAATTTGGACTGAAAAACCCGAAGCTAATCTATTTGGTGCATGCATGCCTTGCAGTCGCTAATGACCTTGTATATATACTGACCGGGTGCAACATTACGAATTTAGAATGGCAGGAATTCGAATGGAAAAAGAGTGTGTTCATGGAAAATGAAATGATTTACACATTAAAATGTTCAGCGCCGTAAGCAATAGGTGTTTGAACGTCCTGGTCACAAGCTATAAAAATATGGTTACTCGAGTCAGGAGAGACGTTTAGTCTCAAGCTAGATTACTAATACACTTACAATATAAACAGTTAAGCCCTATAATGTGCAGCAATGCAAGTTACTTTATTAAGGAATGAACCATGGGTGACCATGACCCTTCAAAGCCGCCGCTGGCACCACACCCTACGCCGTATAGGCTACGACTATTGATTCACCTGCATGGCCAGCCGTCTCCCCCCACCCCCCATCTCCCACCAGACGCCCTACCTCATCCATGTCTGCCAGACAGTGACTTCTTTCGGCTCCATGATGGAATATATCTGAGAAGTCTAGAAGCTAACAGTAATTGCACCAATTTATTAACAATCAAGCTTCCAAAATATTAGGTATTTAAAGCTCACATTGATTCGGCAGTCGCCTAGACGTCAAAATATCACATACTGGTATGAAGGCTCTCCCTACTCTTCTTCGGCAATGGTTCAGAGGTCTGATAAATAAAATATCCAGCCCGCCCTCTAGTTGTCAATCTAGAAAAAAATATGTATTAAAGTATCCCCGAACCTAACTGACACGAATAGAAACCATGACCGTCAATTTGACGAGCCGCTATGATTTATAGTACATCACACTTTGGCCGTTGTGGCCAAAGTATGGTGTACTATCCTAAGACAGATTGGTCAACAAAAATGAATGCATGAATCAAAAGCACTCACGAGAATACCAGGACGTCTCTGCTTCACGCCTAACTTTCCCCTATTCATAAGAACAAATCGTGCTTGCCACTCTTTGGCTTGCAGGCTACCTGCAGGAAACTAACCATTGTAAACTTTTACTGAACAGACGGGTGACAGGATGTAATGTACATTGCATTAGGATTGTCATTAACGGAAGCTGGCTTTTATGAATTACCTGCGAAAATGTTAAATCGCGCAACACTCATCAGTGAATTAAGGAAGCCGACAAGTTCGACAATGTCAATGCTATGGACGGAGGGAGGGATGGTAAATAGGCCGACTAACAATAAGACTTGTTAATCATTCCTACATCATCCTCACTTAAAAGTAGTCTTGCCAATTACGACAAATAGACGCTCCTTTTTGTTTTGAAAAGAACAATTGGCAGAGGGAAAGTGTGATAAAGCCAGACAACCTGGCCATAAAGTCTTCTGAAAAATAATATTTAATTTCAGCCTTGATCGAGCAAACGGTAAAACTAGTGATACAGGTGCTACTACCAGTTCAAAATGTACAATCAGGATGCCTTCCTAAGAGTAATTGAAGGAATCCCCTCTACCTTCTCCGTGGGCTGCCAACTATATCACTTTAATAAAGCGGGAAAGTCTGCAGGAGATGCAAGGAGCTTTAGGAAGTGCAGCGAATGGCCCCAGTAAATCACATTAACAAGGTCATCGACGCATCTACGAGTATGTTAATTCATTGACCCGGTATAACATACTACTGCTGCTATCAAGATCAAATGGTGGCAGACGACAAAGCAATGAATGGCCAGAAGAACGCCAAAGCAAAATTAATCAAGGATATGAACGAGGTAGTGACAGTAATGGACGCTTGGGAAAGGTTTCTTTATGTAGTTTACCTGTAATATGTTTATAGTTGCACATATCACATTAGAAAACTACAAATACGTCTGGCATCTATTTTGGCCGTTGGGTGGGAGGAGGGGTGTGGGAACAAGCACAATTCGGCGAAGGAAAGTCAGTGAAAGCACAAGAGGGAAAGAATGCAAAATGAAAACAAGTCAGGACTAGCACAACGAGCAAACGCTAGAGGGCCAACCGGGATGCTCATGAACGAGGATAGCCTGCAGGGCAGAACAAAGGTCTCAAAGAAACTTTTTAATCTCATTCACCAATGATAACCTTTGCAAGCACCAGAGCTTGTCTACTTATTTTAGACAATGGCAACGGTGATATTTCTAGTCACTGCAGCAAACTACCGCTCCTCCCACCTCTGGTCGGGTAGATTACCTAACCAGTTCCCCATTTGACAGTCTTGCAATACTGACCCGCTAGTCGTTTCAATGTAAATATTCTTTCGTATCTCGTGCATTAACCTACAAAATTACACCAGTTTGCCCTTAATAAAATTTAGCCCAACTAAACTACTCTGCAAGAAATGCAACGTCAGTCTTTAGTAAAATGCAAGCAACACCGTATTACCTTTTAGACCATACTATGTATGCTGTGCTAACCCAAATGCATCGTCTAATAAAAGTTAACTGTTAGGTTACAAATGTTAACACTGCCCATCTTCCCTACAACTTCCTTTTGTTTTTGGTAGAATTTACCTTTTCAAACATCAGACTTGGTTAAAATTCTACCACCATACTTGGCTACCGCTATCCATTTTCCCCAATTTAATCAGTTTCAATGTACCTTGTTCCTAATTTACCGACTTTTATGTGCCACTATTTACGAAACCTTCGTGTAACTAGTTATAATCCAAGTTATAATCCAAGCTATATGTATGGCAGACCATCATGCCGTCTCGATCTGGCAGACCCTTTCTTCCACGCCCCCGAATCAACCACCCATTTATTTTGCCAGACTTCCCAATACGGGGTAGAAAATTTATCATATCTTTGCAGCTGTAACTTAAGAGTCAAGCTACAACTCTTAATTCCTTTCCGTAAGTCTTCTCACGTGTGAACTGTTACAATACGTTTCTACTGCTACTATTACTACTAACACGAGATACTGCAGTAGTTCGCTTCCTGGGAGGTCAGGAAGGTCTATTCGGGCACTGCGACCCTTCGGGAGCGGCACCCTTAGCGACATGCTATTCTACTATCGATCGCTGGTATGGACGATGCTGCATTAGGGGAACACGTAGTGTTCGCCCTTATTTACATTCAAACCAGGGGAAGTGGGCGCGGTTCATAGAAAACGGAAGCTGAAAACGAGACTTTCGGAAACCCTGAATGGAGCAAACACAATCTGTACTTCATGTTTCATTGTCTTTTGTACTTTATCAAGCTTTTTCCATGCTTTCGACTTCATTATAATTTCAACACAATCTGAAAGCTTCGACACTGCAGGTTTTTCAAATTTGTTTCAAATGTTCATAAATCAAAAACTTTTTGTGCACTTCATATACATACACATAACCAACATTGTGAGTGTGGCGAAGCTAACCTGGAAGTGCCGAGTTGACAGAACATGTCTGACAAAAGCAGCGGAGGAAGGAATCCCGAACAAGACCGATGATCATCTTGACGACGTTGGTCGACCTTCAGCGGTGCAGGAGGGATAGGTGGGAGTTCGGGGCGACTTTGGCAAGTCCCCGGACAGTGCTACAGCTACAAGAAACTGCTTCTCCACCGCTCTACACCATGTAAAAAATAAAACCACCTCGAGGTCACCAACTTTGGGATGCAACACTCTGCAGGACCAAAATCTCGTCAGTGCCGGCAAGTGTTCATTACAGTAACACTGTATGCCAGCAAATCCTGTCGAGACTTTAGTCCTGAATGTGGTCAAATAAACCCCCCCCCTTCCCTATACTACTAATATTTCAAGTGGCAAGTAACTGTTGATGGCAACTTAAGGGGTGTAGCGAATGCTGTGGCGGTACACTGGCTGCACCAATTTAATGCTGTGGGGAAAAAGATATTCTTTCAAGCAAAGCCCAACACGCCATTCTGCCCCGCCCTGTGATCACGCTATTGTCGGGGCAACTCTTGTGTACGTGGAAACTTTTTTTTCAATACCAAATAAGCTAATGTGCCTGATCATTTAATATCACTTACACGACGTGGCACTATGGCAGAATTATGCACATCTGCTATGCAGGTGGTCTAATATCAAATCAAGTCACGTGGCCAAATGTCTAAGACATTGGAAATTTTTGAATTGCCCCGACAGTCCAGCAGATATCAGGACCAGCACTGTGGACGGCTTGTGATACAGGGCGCTGGTGATAGGCGTTTGCCGCTTTATCCAAAATGCTTGCAAGAATACCAAGCAGGTACTGCCGAGTCTACCGCCACGAGACACCAGGACAAGCTAACCACGTAATATAACATAAGTATACAAGATACATATATATACGCGTTTAATCTTCTCACCACTAAAACGTGGCAGAGCCGGAGCCTAAGGCAGTACGGTGTGGAGGTGATGGCAGTGGTGGTAAATGTTGATGGTGGTGGTGCGGGGGCCGGGGCTACACTGACTGCTGCTGCCACTGTAGTCCAGTCGCCGCTGCTGGTGCTCGCCTCGTCTCCCTGGGTGTGGTTTTCTGACCTGCGCAGTGTCGCCCGACGGTGGCTCAATCCTGCTGCTGCTGCTGCTGCCGCCGAAGCAGTTTCTGCTGCAGCTACCGCCGTGTCTACCACCTGGTTACACACCATGTGCACATGCACATGTGCAAATATTTAATTATATGGTCTATGATTCCGATGCAGATTGACGTTCATCATTTTTTCCTTTAACATACCTATTTCAATTACCGTCCGTAGGTTTTAAACATTACCCATTACTAGGCAAGTCGAGAAAATCTTTAGTCTTAAAATAAATTGCAATGTTCAAGTGTACCCCACGTAGACTATATATTAACCCTATTACTGAAGGGCTCATCTTGACAGGGAACCACCGTCCCTAGTACTAAGTACTGCCCTTTTACCTGGCAAATATCTCTTAGGCTTTTTACTATACCATTTCATTATCTCAAAATAAAGTAGATTCATCTACTTACATTTCACAGTCTGCCAAGCCTGTGGTGGTCTTCAGGATTACTAGAGTAACCAGCAAGACACTACGACAGCCTGCCTGAAGCAGGTTAGCGTGACAATACGGTGCTTTCTTAACTGTACAACACAAGTGCTTAACCGACCCATGGCAGGTGTCGTTGCCGCAGCCATCAACGGTTTCCACAATTTAAGAGCGCTTTCTCACTTTCATACCAATATCTTTTACAATTATAGCCACGATACAACTTTATTTAGTAAATCACGGCGTACACCTTCAGGTAAATGGTCAGATAAGTGTGTCTTGATAACTTTAAAGCGCGATAAACCAATCTTGCAAGCTTTACAACGGTGAAGCACTAGTAGCTAAGTGACGAATTTGTGGTGTACTGTGTTCGTCAATGTGTTAAGCGCATTGCCATCGAAAATCATTAAATTGTCTGGCAACCGATACAATGGACACTTCAGCCATTTATGTACATGCAATACATATAGTTTATTATATTAAACTACCCAATTTATACAAACCCTGTTCAGTAAAAGTACAATCCCCTAGAGACGTGCGAGAGGCGTTTGTGGCAAGGAAGCAGCAAGTGACCCCGCGTCCTTAACACTCGCCAAGAACATGACCTACCATTTTCGTCTCTGATCTGCTATAATGCAACAACTTTAAGGCGTTTTATTCTCCACTTTGCTTCAGTTACTATCAGTGTGGGGGTAACTGTACTGAACTAGGAAGATTGCAGTTACTCTTGTTATGAAATTGGACTAAGGAAAAAAAAAAGTGCAGCTTTCACACCCGAGTTGTGAAGGTTTAACCACGACTTTGGCAAAACTTTTGGAACCAGTGTAACTTGGAATGCTGTACTAGGTAATATGTACACAGGATAGTGATTAATGCTAATCTATAAAATAAGAGCAGCACCCCCATGGACTCTTCTAGTTTATCCACAATCTTTAGGTCAAGTTTAATTTAGAAGATTCTCTAATTATCCTATAATAAACTCTGCGTTTTATACTATGATCTAAATATCCAAGATCTTTATACTAAATAACGCAGAACATTTGTGTACTAAAGACCCCTCCCCACATTAACAGATCATCCATCTTCAATTGTCTTTCACTAACAAGGTTCACTATCTCTTCCTTAAGGGTCTCAGTCAATATATTGGCTTCATACTTCTCAGCGACAGATTACGTGTGTATGAATACTCTAACTTTAAGTACTGTATAAAATTTGTGAAGGTAATGACTTTTAACCAAGAAGGTTAAGGGTATTAAGACTGTACAAAGACTGACAAGTCATCCCCCTGCCTTCACTCTTTGTGAATGCATCCGTATAGAAGCTCGAGATATTCACAACTTTTTTTTTCTTTTGTTCCCCATACAGTACACAATCAGAACGAGTACACAATAGGAACACCAATCCCAACTTTTTCTTTATTAAATTATATACAATAAAGATCATATTTACATGGGGAAAATGGTATATTTATATAGTTTATATAATTATCTGTAAATCATTTTTTTTAACATCACATAGCATGAGCCGTAAACCCCAAATGTTATACTTTTATCCTGCCTTGCAAGAACAATATTTTTTTCTATAGCAAGAACAAATACAATATTGTCTACCGAGTAACCCTCTTGCTTGCCTGCCTATCTCTACAAAAAATGCCACCTGAAGATTTATCACGAAGCCCTCTAGCCTAGTCGCATCTCTGTTTACAAAATACCTGCTTTTTCCTTCTCATCTGCCCATATTCAGTCTCTCTAACTTCATACTGATACACTGAATGCCTTTCGTCAATCTTTGCCGCTTCTATTCTTTCAACTTTCACAAGTTTTATATTATATATTCAAAACTAAAGTTGCTTAGTCCAGTCTTACCACACAATTCAATAATTGGTACTTTCACGACAACACTAAACTTCGTGTAACCCAAGACTGTAGCTTATTCATTTCTTTGTTACTTTATAATGCAACAATGAGGCAAACCTTACTGCAATAAAATTGTTTTCGGGACTCAATCTAAGCCTAAGTGCGCTATAGCTGGTCCTGCTCATTCGCAGAGGCCCACTAAACTTCTCGCCCACTTCTAGACATATTAATGTCTCATGTTGGTAAAGTTATTTAAAATGTGTATAAATATAAGCGCTTTTAAACCAGTTTACATTAGTGTAACTTTTACATTACATTTTTCACAATACAGTACTCGGCACCCAGCATGTCCCTCCCTCAGACTATTATCCCTATTGCTCCTTTTCATCGCCCCCTCGTGTTCACATGCCATCTGCTCACCAACCTATTAACAACGGCCTTCGGGGTTCAATAAAAGCGCTTTTTGGGAGGGGGGGGGGTTGAATCTTTGTAATTAAGTAGGTCAGCAGGTACTTCTAGTTAGGTACATCCTGTTGTAAATATACACTATTTCACCCTGAAGGCCCATGCCAAGGGAGGGGTCAAATTGGGGGTGCCAACCAGCAAGTATAATCCTATGTCCATCATGCTACCCAGCAATGTGTTCAATAAAATAATAGTTAAAAGCTTATCTAGACAGGTCATCAATGTAAACCATTCATTTTGCATCTTTCGTGTTATTATTGTGGATATCCATTAATTAACCCTTTTGGTATACACGTTCAGCTTTTATACAAAGAAATTGTCGTCACTTCATTTTCGCCTAATATGAATTTATTAAACATCGTCATAAGGTTAGTTCCGAATTATTGGAATTAAATGTTAATTGTCTGTGCATGTTTAACAATTTATGTTCACACTTTACAGTAGTAACAGACTTGAATAATCTAAATTAGGCCTAACAAAGCGTAAAATGCTGATGGATGAGCATCCTCTTTGTTGGTCCTAAATTAAAAACATCTACCCGCTAAACTTTTAGAGGGGGTGGGGTCCCTTGTAATGGTTCCGGGGCTTACCAGGCCTCCAAAAGGTAGTGGACCTTGTTAAAGACAATTGATGATGGATGGTCAGCTAATGTGTGAAGGGGGTCTTTACTACACATGTTCTAACATTGGCAGCCATTCACGCCACGCCTCAAACTCAGCTGATAGCAAGGAGTAAGGATTGACAAGGAGGGTCCGGTCACCACTGCATAGTGACCTCTATCCCAGTCAGGTGCAGATATTTTCAAGTCTGCCAACTAATTAATCCCTTGCATTAGGGGTAAAATTTTCGCGAACTAGTATATCTTTGTTTATGTAAGCTTTAAGTCCTGTAACCACAGGAATCCACATGTACGTGTGTAAATAAGTGTTAAGTAAACCTGTGCGAGCGAGGTGCCTTGCGCGCGTATGGTCTGTCGGTACAATCAATACCAGACACCGCCGCCGCCGTCTGGTGTCTGGGAGGGAGGGTTGGGGGTGCTACTCTATCCTTCTCTATCTTCTATTTATTGGTCTAAACCCACAGCCACACATTCTGTACACGTTAGCACATCACCTGGCCAGTCCCCAAACATCATTCCAGCAGTATTAAACCAAGATATGTTCTCCACGAGAAGATCAGAAGCAGCAGCAACCAGGGATCTTAAAGGCGTATTCCACCTAGCGAAACCTCGATTAACCTACCAAGGAACAGAACCCTCCTGCTTTGTATCAATGCAAATCGTGAAAGACAAGTCTCGAGACGGCTGTACATTCATGTTGTGGGAATTCTCTACCGTTGCTCTAGACACTTGGCCGTTAATCGTGAGTTGGGCCCACCCGCCCCACACACACCGCCAAGGTTAACCTGTTAAAGTGACTGGAACAGCACAGTCTGGCTTCAGACACCGCCTTTGATCCTGCATGGTGTACTTTAAATGAAGGTACTGGATTGTACCTGGATGGGGTTCTGGGAATTCTTCTATAAAAGTAACAAAAGGTTAGCCTACGTTACGTTAGTAAATTAGTTTATAATGCAAAGTATACTAATTTTGAACGTTCAAGAATTATGTCTAATAAAATAGAGAACGATACAGGAATTATGCTCAACAGCGGGAGGGGCATGAAACCCACCTTCTGAAAGTTAAATCGCCTTTATTGACATTTTCGCGAAAGCTGTCAATGTTTACTTCATGATAAACAGCGTCTGATCCTTTGCAAACATTTCCTTCAAACATGACATCAAATCTAAATTAAGTAGACTACTAATTTGTTCCATGTTAACTTTATTATTTGAGTCCTCGGCGGGGTGGCTTTCGTGAACCCTATTCTAAACCCTCCCCTACAACCAGAACGAAATACCGTATTTACTGAACCTTCAACACCACCACACCAACCCCCACAATACCTGGCCGCCACCCCACGAGTGGGGGGGAGAAAAATGAGTACTGTATTACACAGGTCGGGGTGAGGGATTATGAGATTCGTGCCACTCCTGCAGACAGCCAGGAGCCGCCAGCACACTGGTGTCGCCAGGTGGCCAGTAATCACAAACACTGGCTGCCCCGCCAAACATTGTGCCTGTGCACTCGTGCTTACACACTTGTGTACGTACACTTAAAATAACTACAATGTGTTAATTCTGGGGAGC